CACACACACACACACACACACACACACACACACACACACACAAACATATATATATATATATATATGTATGACACACATGCACTTTTTACACAGTAAATTTAAGCAAACAATTTTCAGACCTTTAGTTGGATTTTACTGCTCTTTAAAACCACAATTATTACACAAACACATCTGTAAACAAAATGAATCACATGTTGCAATGTAACTTTATTATACAAGTGTTTTTGTTTCCATACAGAATTCTATTTAACATTTTGTTTGTTTGTTGTTTTATACAGCCTATCTGTAATCTTTGTGAATTAAACCCTAGGTTTGACTGCAGCAAGTCCACAACTAAACCCTAGCTATGACTGCAGCAAGTCCACAATTTTGCCATTGACCTACAAGAGAACTCGACTTAATATAAAAAAAAGCAAATACCTAACTGCACTAATTACAATTTATACTCAACTGTTGATAAAAAGAAATTTAAAAAACATGTTTAATCATTAAAAGTTACATAAATAACAAGTAAAGCTTTATACTTTAGAGCTATGTTAATTTTCATTAGCAAAATTATGTGAACAGCAAGGAAAACCATCCAACAGAGATTTATGAGTTCACTGGTAGAGGTTAGTTTGCTCTAACATTTAACCATTTTTTTTGGTATATTTAGTGGAATTTTTCACAACAACTGAAATACTAAGATAATGTTAACCTACACTTTTGTGATTGAATAAAATGAAGTTTTTTTTAAACGAATATTTATTTACTGTTACTAGTAGTACACTGGAAAACCTCACATCATGCAACAACAGGATAAGTCTACAACAGAAAATCTTAGATAATAAATAATTTTGAGAAAAAACATGGTCTTTGAAAATATGGAAACAGTAATTTTACCTGCTACTACAGCATCATTTTTCATAGCTCTCCTGACAATCATTATAGCATCATGAAGAGATCGCTCTGTTTCTTCAATGAACTGCTCAGCACCACCACGAAGAATAATTGTTACTGTTTTGGTGTTGGAACAACCAGTAAATAGGTTGTACCTATAAGGAAATAAAACCCTTGAGTATTCAATGCTCCACATTGTAATAAGAAAGAAAGGAGAAATAGCAGCATTTAAAACAAGAGGTATAAAATTGCATCAACTTCCTAATGCAAGGTTGTAAGGAGGAATATTAGCACTGGAAGAACTTATACTTGGATAACAGATGGGGAATATAGTTTATTGGTGCAACCTCACTTTAAAATAAAAGAACAATTCCTTAATGAGAATAGTGCACATACAACTAGATAACATTTATTAATGGACGCATAACAAAATCACTTGCAATATTTTGGAAAATTAAATGAAAAAAAAAACACACAAAGGAGTGTTAAATAATACCAAAAAATATATGATGATACATAACTTTTAATATTTATTTCTTTGATTTTTTTTTTGCTGACTATTTGTGTAAAGTGTTGAACTTTTTCAAACAAATACAAAGCAGCCATTCATGCAAAAATATAAGTGGCAAAAATTTACAATTTCTAATATTTGATGTAGGATGAGACAAGATAAGTTCGACTTTTTTACCCCAAAATTTAAGAAATGGGGTTTAAACATTTTCTAGTGGTATTTGATTGGAGACTTCTAGTGCAAATGCAGTCTGTAGAAGTCTCCAATCAAGTTTGCAGTCTCTTCTGTTTGAACTTTCTCTTAAACAAGATTCTTGTGGTGTTTTGTTGAGCTCCAAACCAATCTCAAACATTACTAGATTTACATATAAAATTAAGTTAATATCCAAAACTACCAGCATTATGATGTTACTATACTATTAAACATGCATATCATATTAATGGTGTATAGAGTACAACTTTTAATTTCTACTTCAGAACTTGTAGCAAATAATAGTTTGTCTTCCAACTTGGCAGCATGATTTTTTCTCAAACTAAAGAATTCCCTCAAACAAAGTTGATTATAAAAATGGCTTGAAAAGTCTTTCCGAGTATAAATAATACTTAGGGATTACTTGGAATTTGACAAATAAGAAGATATGTTTACCAAATAAAAAAATTATACAAATTTATTGTAAACCAAAGGCTTTTTCACTACCAGTTCTTAATAACATATAATGTTAACTTACAGGATCGTTACTACTCTGCTCAGTATCAGGCAACTATTAATTCACTCTGAATGAACATTCATATCTAACTACTTTATTTCAACTATTATAACATAACAATGTTTAGAGACAACAAGGAACCTACTGGTCCATCTAGGCTGTCCAATCTTCTAAACTAAATGAAATCTACTAAAAAGAAAAATCTCAAAAGTTAGTCCTTATTATTCATATAGTTATCGAGCTTTCTCTTAAACTTACTTAAATTTACTGCCTCCACAACATCCAATGGCCAACCACTCTGTTAGAAAATGCATCAAAGCTATCAATTCCCTTTACAATCTTAAACAACTCAATCATATCCCCTCCAACTTTTTTTCAAGAGAAATAAATTTCAGACATATTAACCTCTCCTCGTATGACAACCCCTCCAACCTAATCACAATTCTAGTAGCCCTCCTCTAAACCCTTTCCAACAATTCAAATGTCCTTCCTAAGGTAAGGAGCCTGAGACTGAACACAATAATCCAAATGAGGCCTAACCTATAATGAAATAACCTCTTTATACTTGTATTCAATATCTCTGCAGATACAACCTAAAATCTTATTTGCTCAAATACTAGTAACAGCCCACTGCTTGGATGACTTAAAAGACTGATCAATCATTACACCAAGATCCCTTTCTTTCATGACATTTTTAAGGTTATTCCCATCCAAATTATACTTATATTTCAAATTATAATAAACCACATACATTATTTGTATTTATTATAATTAAAATCCATCTGACATATATTAGGTCGTCAAGAAATTAATGTCACTTTTTAGATAAAAAAACCCAAATTTGTATATCAAAACAAAACATTTATTAAATGAAATAGTCTTCATTCTTATCGATGATGCTTTTTCATCTTACAATCAGGTTGTTAATTCCCTGATAAAAGAAATCACTTGGCTTTGAAGCAAAAAACATGTAGATGTCCTCTTTAACACATTCCACATTTGCATATGTTTTCCCAAATGAAAAAGATGGTAATCTGATGGTGCCATATCTGGAGAATATGTTGGGTGGAGGAGAACTTCCAAACCCAACTACATAATCTTGTGTTGCATCAAACGTGCCTCATGTGGACGTATATTGTCGTGGAGAAGAAGAATACCTTTCCAATTCACAAGAGAAGGGCATTTCTGTTGCTGACTATAGACCTCTGCATTGACAGTTCGCTGTGGATCGAGGAGTTTGAAATGAATTACTCCTTTGATGTCCCAATAAAATGGAAAGCATCACATTCTGTGGATAGAGTCTACGTTTTCTGGTTGAAAGTGGTTTTTGTCTAGGACTAAGCCATTGTTTTTGGCATTTAATATTTGCAATAGAGAATCCATTTTTCATCACTGGGGACAGTTCTGTCCAAAAATGGTTCATGTGCACTACGCGGCAAAAGATACGAAGCAATGTTCACATGTTGGAAACAATCATCAGAGAGTTTATGAGGCACCCAAACACCTTCGTTATGGAGTTTTCCTATATTCCTTAAATGTTTACGTATTGTTTCATGAGAGACATGCAATTTCAGGACCATTTCACGAGTGTGTTGCTTTGGGTTAGACTCACAAGCATCTTCAGATATATATATATAATGTTATGAGATTTAAGCTATTTCATATAAACATCTATGTTTTTATTCTTAAATGTTTTTGTTTATTTAAAAATTTTTTATGGTGGTTGTGAGATCAGTCAAATCTACCAAACCCATACAGAGATTAATTACTGAAAATAACAGATAAAATATAGTTTTTCTTTAGAAATGTTTGATAACTATCCAGACATTATATGGATCTCGCACGTGAAATTTCAAAATTTTGTGATGCATAAAAGTATTTTTAACCTTAAAATGAAAATTACTTTGCATAATATATACTCAAGATGTGAAAATAAAAAAAAAGGCATGAGAGAAACATTGCTTTACAAACCTTACGACTTAATTTAAAAATTATATATTTTACATATGAAAGCATTGTAATGTTTACTGATAATCTTCCAAATTTTGTTAAAATGTGCTTACTAATATACAAATTATAGCACGAAAACTATAACAAGCACAAAATGGTTATGAGGTCATCACACTGACTGACCCTGTATTGAATGAATTAAGATTAAGAATACTTTTTCATCTGAAAATTTTCAAATTTTGTTTGCATAATCCCTAAAATCTCTTAAATTAATATCAAATGGCTTTCTTTTCAGAAATTTTTTTATATTTTATGTAAGTTTCTCTACACTAACTCTATATGAGGTTGGTCAAGTTCATTGATCTCTTAACCACCCAAAAAATATTTAAAATAAATCAAAATTACCCCCTTTTATCTTTCTAGAATGACTTCAAATTGTAACATGAAATATGATTTTTTTATCGTACATGGTTTAGATATCATAATAGTATACACCTGCTTATACTGAAATTTATTGTTTTACTGCCCTTTGAACTGTGTCTAAACTAATATTGCCACTATAAAATTTCAAGTTACTTAGCAAACGTGCAGCTCATGTTACCTTATAAACTTATATAACACATGGGATGCTTATGAGTGTACCTCCTCGTGAAAAATATAATTATTATTCTTTATTTTACCTAGTCTAACCGAAAAAGTCTATAATTTTTACATTTATAATAAATAAAGAATAGACATGAAATGAAGTATTTACCTGTGTCTTCTTTTTGCTGTCGACTGTTGATAACACTTAACCCGACCTTTATTTTTTTTTCTTATACTAATGGTACTACTGCAATAAATAACTTTTATTTAATTAACTCATGCTTCAAAGAACACAGAATAACAACATGCCAAAAGCAAAATATGTCCCATAACTACCACTATTATTCTGGCTTTCTAACTGCATCAAGAGCTATTAGAATCAAGCTTGAACTGGAAGCCAAAGTGACAATCATCTGTGAATAATATATCATTTTATAGATTGAAACTTTCTATTGGTTATAAATAATATGATATTAAGCATCAGAGAGAACTACTCACATTTTGTGAAAAGAGGATGTGACATGTGGGCAGAAGTGTCTCACTTTTTAGTTTATGGCTCTAAAACCAAACAAGATTGAAGGCTATAAAAGTATTATGTTTTGCCTGAGCAGTAACTACATTACAATGAGTAATTTACCCTGAATTCCAAACTTCTTGGAATGGTGGTAAATAAATTAAATAAGAGGGGAAGATATAGATAACAGATGTCACAGTTCTCATTCTAGGGGAGATTAAGGTTTTTCCAATATTTCCTTATAAAATTAAGAACTTAAAACTTAAATAATATAAAAATTTGATTTATTAACTACATTTTTATGCCAAATTTATTCACATATATTGATAATAAAGTAATTTAACTAAATTTTGAATGTAACTCTGTAAAAGATTGTTACATGTGCACTTTGACCTACCTGACGCAAAAGAGTTAAGCCTACCATTAGAACTACTTCTATACTTATATCCTATGTTAAAATTTTCTCTACATCTTTTTACTTTGCTTTAAGTTTATCCTGGCCTTCACCACTGTTTAGTCCCAGTTTTTAAACTTCCCTTACAGATGAATTAATAGCCCTTTCAAACAAGCCATCCCCTCCCTTTTTTTATCCATTCTAAAAAACTCCCTTCTCCCATTAAACTGATCCCACAATTTCAACCAGCCAATCTGCTCATCCTTACATATTAACCTAAGCCCAGCATTCAGCTGTACAGACCTATTTAGAATTTTATCCCCACAATTAATTCTCGGCAGTATCCTGACACAATTATGTTATGGCCTTTTTCTTTAAATGCCTTTATCAAACCATTGTACTTATCAATTAGTTCCTGTAACCTACCTTTCTCTACATCATTAAGCCCTACATGCACAACAAAAACTGCACCACTGCTAGCCCCCTTTATTATATCTCCTGCTCTGTCAATTATATTCTCCACCTGTGCCCCTGGGTAGCATAATCGGATCCTTTTCTCCTTATTTACACCACAGACTATCCTATCCACATGCAAGTCAAGGAATCACCTATAATTATAACCTCCTTATCATCCACATCTTTCTCTGACCCTATAGTTTTCCTTCCCTCCAATAATTCCTCATCTGCACAAGCCAATGGCTGAAATCTGTTGCTCCATAGAACATGATGATTACAATTAAATCCACTACTTTTCACCTTAATAGTACTGTTTTCAACTTCCTGAAAGTCACTGTTATTTGATGTATCCCTTGATGTAAAAGCTTAAGTTCCTCTTGAAATTCTACTTCCATTTACCACAGTTTACAATTCTCTTTATCTATTGCCTCTACTTTAATTATGATAGCCTACAACTTCTCCTCCAACCTGCAAACTCTACAAACAAATTACAGATCTTAAAAAGTATATACCAGTCCCAAGTTACCAAAGAATTTCCACTCATTGCACTTATCACACCGACCAAACTTTGAACACTTAATCTTTAAATAATTGATACTTGAAACCAACGGTACTTGGTGAAGCTCCATAATTACAGAATAAAGGAAAAACAAGGCAATTGTACAGTTCACAAATACATCATTTATTATGTATATCAGATACCTGATGATGCCCTTACTGGTGAAACCATGGTCTTAATAAATGATGTATTTGTGAAATGTACAATTGCCTTGTTTTTCCTCAATTCTGTAACTAGTCTTTACTTTAGTTGATATTTATGTAGTAATACAATCTATTTAGTCCGATTTATAACCTATCTATAAGTTGAATTTAAATTAATGGATCTAACTTCAAGTAACCAAGTAACAAAATTCTTCAAATTGAATGTGATAACACTAAGTATCTTGCCTTTCTCCTCCAATTTGCATTTCTTCAAATAAATCGCATGATCCCAGGTTTTTGCTGTCAGCCAAGTCATGCGTTGTGGATAAAATTGACCCACCACAAGCCTTCATAGTCCTTTTGAGATCCTCTTCTTGAACTCTTCCTGCACAGAACATATCCCTGTAGAAGATCAAATATCATCAAGAATGATTAAAAATATACAGAAAATTAACTTAATCAAAAAAGAATCGTATTCTATCTAAGATAAGAACAACTACTAAATAATGTCAATAGCATTATTAAACAAAACAAGAGTTGGGTGTCTAACATAACATGATATGCATATTTCAGTGGTACATAAAAGTAAAAGAAACAGTGTGTTCTCAGCAGCTTGAACAACAAAAGTTTATAACTGTAAAAAGATCCAGCTTAGTAGTGAAAAATAACCCCAACAAAGATATTTATAGGATTCTATGACATGAGAGAAATAAGTCAGCTAGAAGCTGGTCAAACACAGTCACTGCATAATGGCTACAAGTTCCACAAAATATGGTTAACAGGATGCACACTCACAAATCAACTTTCAATATTTTATTAATCACTGCAGAGATCTAGGTTTTTTTTATTTTGTTTCTTTGCTTACTCCGAAACATTAATTTCTCCAAATCAGATTTTAGCATACTTCATTATTTTATATTCTTTGTTTGTCCAACTGTGGTTATTGGTTTAACTTTCATCTATTACATTAAACAGAAAGGCTTGAAAATTATGACAACATAATTTTGGGATTTTCAACCTGAAAAATAATACATGTAATATACCAATTCTTTTCTTTTTTAATCAAAATGAGCAACAGGTGTCAGTGATATCATTTCAGTCTAAAAATGGTTAATGAAAAATGAACTAAAAAAACAAAGTATTACAAGAATATCACAAAATACCTCTACTTAGAATCAATACACTAACATTGAAAAACAAGAGGGAATCCTCAATAGCTGCAGCACTTGAAATTCTTTCAAGCAGGATGAGAGTAAATTAATCTATGAGACCTTTTCATTACCTGTATTTTTGTGTGCCAGCAATACTAAGCGTGAGGCAAGCATATACCTGATTAAATTTTATTCCTCATCAGAATCTCTACCAGCCTACCCTAAAATTGAAATTTAGGCAGGATTAGAGTAAATTAATCTATGTGACCCTGAGCATGGTCAAATACATGAATCAAAAGGATTTGATCTTCCGAGTCCAAAACTGTAATTTGATCTCAAATCAGCCAAGAGATGATGGATCTATGAACTAAGAGTTTGTACTGGAAAAAAAACACCCATTCTATGAGCCTCTATACCATGGCTAAAAAGAGAATCTTCTCTATAGTTTATTACAGTTAAATACACTTAAGCTAAAGAATATCTATTCATACCTATCTGCAAAATACTGTGTAGCTACATCTCCAATAGGAAGTTTAGATAACACAACCTTTGCACCACTATCATGAATCTTCTTCAGTTTGTCATATAAGATGTTCCACTCAGCATCAACAATGTTTTGGTATTCCTGTTAAAAGCAAATAAATGTACTAGTTTGCAAGACTTCAAAAATCTGCATTTTTTTTCTTTAATTGTATGATATTATTAATCTTAGATTCAATATAGGTTTTGTTAATGAAATCATCAAAAATTTAAACTTTTGAAGAAAATGTCATTTCTCTTTATCTCAAATTCATTTCAATTCAGAAACATTTATTTGTACTTTCTAGAAGACTTACTGAACAAAATTTCACTTTTTTTTAATTAACATTAAATATGCCTCGTACTCTGAATACAACATTTAACATCATTATAGTTATTACTCCCAACTTAAAAATTCTCGAAGTATATTAAAACCATCTACCTTGTCACTATTAATTACACTACTAGGCACAAAGATCTGTAATTTTATAAATACCAATTTATGTACATACCTGTACTGATTCAACTCTGACTTCTGCATTTTCTTTTTCAGCTTTTAATTCAAGTTCTACATTCAACAAAGCTATTTTAGGGTTCACATATTTTTTAGGTTGCATTTCAAAACCCGCATAAGAGAAGGTTTTCTTAAAAGCTACTCCTGAAATTAACTTGGATTCCTGCAAGAGAAAATATGTTAAAAGTTACAAAAGGTAGGATACGGTAGGGCTATGTCACCAATGTGGCTATTATTGCCAGTAAAAAAAACAATTTGTAAGGCCTACCCATTTCTTTTGTCATACATTTTCTTTCCTTTGTTAAATGTATATTTATTTGAAACTGTATTGCAACATGCTGCACAAAACCTTTGCTTTCCAATGTCATTTTGTCTGCTCATTGGTTGATTGCTTATGGTACAATAGTGTACCACTGGTTGTGTGCACAATATATGCCATCAAGCTATGTGCAGTTTGATCCAACTAGAAAGCACCATACAAGGAGGACTAGTTATATATTATAACACTCAGCATTAGGTCATTGATAATTATAGTGTCAACTGTATTTAACATTCAGTGATCAAAATATTACATTCCTGCATTCCCGAAGAATTTGCTTAAGGAATTTCATCTTTTCAATTGGCTTTCCCTATCAGGAATGCATGGTAGGTTGGTTGATTGATTGCCGTTTTATAGCGCAAAGCAATGGGGTAATCTGTACTAAACAACTGGTAAAAATTTCAAAGTTAAAAGCTAAAAGTTCAAAAATCAGGTAAAAACATCTAAACAGAATTAAAAAGTCTAAAACCTGCAAAAAGCTAAAAACATGGTTAAGTTGGGCCGTGTCACCATCGCCAATGACACTGTCCAACATCAGTACGTTGAAAATGCCACCACCACTCATGTTCATAATGACAGCATGACAGTAAAATATGAGCTATTGTGATTTAAGTGTCACAAAGGCTACACATTGGTGGGTCAGTACCAGGTAAAGGAAAACAGTGAGTTAAAAAACTGTGACCAATGCATAGCATAGACAGGACAACTTCTTCCTTCTCATTTTATGGAATCAAGATGGCCAAGAAGCAACAGAAGATTTTGTCTGGAAAAACTTGTTATGAAATTGCTAACCCCAAGTCAACAGGCTCAGCTGTGACGGCCCCACAGCAGACAGACTTAGCTGCAGTGTCAGTGAACTCGTTCCCCTGAATATCGACATGACCAGTTATCCAGAAGAACTGGATGGAAATAGAAGATAGAGAAAAATGGGCTAGTCACTGTTGAGTATCGATGAGAACTAACATTAAGCAACTCCAGGGCCAGCAGAGAGCTAAGAGAGTCATAGTAAATAGTACAATCACTGTACTGCATAGCTTCTACATGATCCGGGACAAGAGAAATGGCATACAACTTAGCAGTGAACACAGAAACTGTAGAGGGTATCCTCTGAGCTTAGCTACAACAAACTATGGCAGAGCCCACAGAGTCACCTGATTTTGAACCATCCGTATAAACAGGAATACAAGAATGGTTCGAAATATGTTCAGCAAAAAGAAGTTGGTACTTCTAACCAGGAGTATCCACCTTCCTCAGATGACTCACAGAAAGGTCACATTTGGGAATGGTAAGAAGCCATGACAGAATGGACTGGTCAATTGAGACAGCAACATCATCCAATGCCAGATCCATTTGAGCCAGTTGTGCCCGGATACAAAGAGCAAAGGTATGAATTGCAGACCATCTGTTCTGAACTCAGGATCAGGGTTTAGACCCTGCTGGTGGCAAAAATGCATGCAAACGATTTTGGAAAAAGAAAAGGTCAAACCATTTGCTGTGGTCCACTTCAACAAGCGATTGAAGGTAGTCTGAAGCTGCTACTCAATAAACCTCATATCAATGACCAACATGAGATGTGGAAGTCGTTGACATAGAGCCCGTTTGCAATAGCAGGAGGAAGTTCTGTAGTGATAGCATTGATATTGAAAAGTGTGACACTCATGACACAGCCCTGAGGGACTCCAAGTTCCTGTGTGAAAGAACAGGAAAGTGGCGAACCCACACAGGCTGGGAATCGCCTGTCGAGTAAAAAGTTCTGAATAAAAATGAGTAGATAGCCACACAACCCATATGAGTGGAGGTCCTGCAGAATATCATATCTCCACATAGTGTCGTGGGCCTTCTCAAAATCAAAGAAAAAAAGAGAAAGACTTCCCTGATTGACGTTTCAAGTCAAATCAAATGGAGTTGTTTGATTTGCGGAAACAAACAAGATTAGCATTATCCATCCTCTCTAAGACCTTGCGGAGACATCTAGTCAAAGCAATTGGATGATAATTAGAAAGAATCTTGGGATCCTTCCCAGGCTTAGTGAAAGGGAGGAAAATAGCCTGACCCCAAACATCAGGAAAAATGTTGTCCTCCCAGATCCGGTTAAAAACAATCACAAGAATAGCAAAAGAGGCAGGAGAGAGATGGCACAGCATCTCATAGTGAACATCATTAGTTCCAACCAATGTACTGCCACACTGATGAAGAGCAAGTATGAGTTCCACCAGCATATAGGGGTGATTATAGTCATAGAGAGGATTGGTCCAAAAGAAAAGAGGTGATCGCTCTGTCTGAGACTTGGTGGCCAAAAGGCATTGGAAGAAATAGAAGCACTAGATGCATGAGAAAAGCTCTCGCTAACAGTATCGGCGATGCTCTGGACATCAGCAACTTCCTGGCCATTGTTATCCCAAATGATTTTGGAACTGGTGAGATGCTCGCAGTGAACTTAATCCAAGATTCCTTTTAGCTTTGATGTCTCACCTGCCAACAGTGGGCCCACTGATAAACTATGCAGTTAGAAAGAGATGGATACTGTCAGAAGGTTAACCAGGACCATTTCTGAGCCTCCTGTATCTTCTTGCAGGCTGGAGATCACCATGGATGAGGATAATGTGAGAAATGTGTCGAGGTTTTAGGTATAGAATGAACAGCTGCTTGAATGAAGCAATCAGTTACTGCCTCCATGCAGTCGATAATAGATGGAAGACTAATGACAACATGATCAAGTTCTGAGAGAGAGGTGAAAGAAAGACAGTCAGCCTGTTCAAACTTCCACTGTAGCACTAGGGTCAAGTGGCATCAACCACAGCCAATCTCCCTCAAAACGATAGGAAAATTATTACTACCCCATGGGTCACTGTGAATTCTCCAATAAAAGTGAGAGAAAAGTGATGAAGAGCAGACATAGATCAATGGAAGTAAAAGACTGACTAGGTGCAGGAAAATAAGTATAAGAACCAGTATTGAAGATAGAATGGTTTTGAGCCAAGAGCATATGCTCTACAGAATGACCCCTTCCATCAATATCAGCACCACCCAAAAGAGGACTGTATCTATTAAAGTCTCCCAGGATTAAAAAAGGAGACTACAATGAGAGCATCAAATTCTGATTGATCATAAATCTCTCCAGGAGACAAGTAGAGAGAACAAAGAGTGATGGTACGATCCAACAAAACACAGATGGCTATGGCCTCCAAGGGTATATCAAGGGTTACACACATCGTCCACAGATAATGTCACTCTCGTCATATTTCGTTCCAAAAATAAAACTAGTAGATGAAATTTGAAAAGAACTTTATTAAAAGTATGTAGTTTCAGAAAAATAAAAAAATTTGTTTGATTTTTTTCTACTTTTTCTGATAAAAATTAATCATTGAATATAGTTATTTGCACTTGGACTCTGAATAGGTCACCTGCAAGGTGATTTTCATTGTATAAAAATACAATTTTTTACCTTACAGTTTTACATTTCCCTTGCATAATCTCTAGAGCCTCCTTAAATGAATATCAAAAGTTTTTTTAAGATAAATGTTCATATTTTATTTTCCATTTTCTCTACCATATCATTAACTTAGTTATTATCATCAATGTACAGTGCAATGAAATGTTTAAAATTAAAAAACAGAAATATATACATACCTTCTTATCTCTTCATTGAATTATCTTAAAATACCTTCTTTGGGTTACATGTCTTTTTACCTTTTCACTTATAGTTTATTTTTAATGTTTTATTTTCCTTTGCTATTCTTTATATTTGATTATTTATGTTGACACATCAACTGGTACCTGCAGGCAAAATAACATTATGATCAGCAGAGACATTTTAGCCTTCGGCAAAATTGTGGACTTTCCTATTTTTCAAGGGCTCGAAGAACAAGGGAAATATTAGAAATATTTTTAAGATCACCAAACCTTTTAAGTCTGAATTTTAAAACACAAATAATACATAATTAGCTAAAATATAAAAGCAAAATCTAAATGCAATTTAGCTCTTTATTAAAGTAATATATATAAAAGCTGAGAAAAAAATGCCAAGTCCTAGGGACACTTATCTCAACAATGGACTTAACCGCAGTTTGCTTTTCATTTGTAAACGAATTTTTCATCTACATTTCCTGCTAAGCTTGACACTTTACAGTGAGAAATCTGCTCTTTCTATTAATTATAAGCATGTCAATCGAGTTGAAACTGTCAATTAGCAACACTGTTTCTACTTCAAAAGTTGGCATGGCTTATCTTGAACTTGAGAATTTTTACAACTGTTTCCTCTGAAGACAGTTCTTGGAATTCAACTCAAGTTACTGGTAAACAACCTAAATATGGACACTTTGAACATCTGCATGAAAACATCTACATTACACACAGTTGTATTTTCTATATCATCTCTTAAAGTTGAAATATGTGAACAGTGAGAGCATCAAGTGATAACAAAACTGAAGTTTTAATTATTGTTCTAAAGGTTTCATTTGAAATAAAGGAATAAAAACTTAAAATAATATAAAAACTTATGATGTATATTTTATTAAAATACATTGATATTAAAGTGGTTTAATAAAATTTTGAATATAGCTAACATTTTGTGACATAGACAGAAAGGAATTTTTTACAAAATTACTCTGGGTCTTACAGGATTTTACATGCAATGTGTGTAGCCTGGTCTAATAGGGTTAAATTCAAGGTTATAGTTACTGACCGACAAATTTATGATATAAAATCTCAAAAATTATGAAATAATTCTTGAAATTTATAAAAAATTTGGGAACATTCTTGAATTTGTTCTCTGCTGAAAATGTGGAAACCCTGAAAATTTAACTTAAAAAAAAAATACTATGAAAAATCAGTCCAGAGGAAACACCACATTTTGCATACTGTTGGGGTGTGAATAACAATATACTGGTAAAACTATTCTCTACTTAATGTTTTATGAAAGTATTACATCAATTCTTTGTGAGATTAATTCAGTTAAAATTAAGTTAAGCAGTCTGCTATGAAATGTTCTATGTAGCTAATATGATACTGTATCAATAAGTCTATAGATAATAGAGAAAACTTAGTCATTTTTGAGTCCTCAAATTTTGCATAATATACTGAAGTCAATGTTGATTCCTCTCTTCATATACTTTCCTAAAATACATCTACCATTGCAGATGGTGACTTCTGAGGATTTATACAAGTACTACCACAAAACATTGAAGTCCACGATAGATGTCTGCAAAGTTTATAGGATGAATTCCTATTAATACTTGTCTCTTGCAGAGGATCTGGCATGTGGACAAAGATGTGTAGCTGAATGTTTTGTATCTTCATAAAGCCATATCTTATTGACTCTCGTCTGTAGAAAAAATATTTCATTAATTATAATGGTGTCTAATAATATTCAGAATTCACCTTGGAATTCATCCTCACTCTCGAGGTGTTCAAGTTATCATTATAGCTGTAACATCAACCACATACATTGTTTGAGAAAAACTTCAACATGTTTTATACTCTTTTTAAATTATGTTAACTGCTTTAACTTTTGTAGATACTCAAGTAGGAATATGCTTAGTTCAAACTCATGACATACTTTCATTTGTTATATGTCAGATATCGCTCATACAGATTTCACAGGTTAGCCTTCTCTTTATTAAGATAAATGTGTGAACAAGGCTTGTGTCACTTTTGTAGATTTAAGTTTGTGAGAATTTTCTTGTTTACAGTTCCAAGGAAATTTCACAAAGAATAAATGACTAAAAATTACTAATCATTTGTATTAGACATATTTTTCTACCTCAAAAATCTTTGTAGATTTTGGAACAGAACTGGTCTTATTCTAAATCATTAAAACTACTAACCTCAAGAGCACCTCCTTGAACTTTCTTTACTCCAATCATATTTAAAGGTAGAAGTTCATCTAACTGCATCACAGCATCCACTACCATTTTTGAGAAAAACGTCTTCTGGTTTGCTACAAGTTTGGAACTTAGAGTCGTCATTGCACATTTTTCTAGAATAGCTCTGTGCTCTCTGAAAAGCAAAATTAGCTGTCACTTTCAGTTCTAGGATTGATAAACGAAATGAAATACAAAACATTAAAATTTACATCAAGTTAATAACACCTTATTGGTTCCCTTGACATTTATAACACTGAGGGCACTTCTGATTTGTGAATTTATTACTATAAGAAGTTATTTTTGGAAGATTTTCTCCCAAAAGTAAACAAGTTTTAATTAAACTATCACTTGTTTAAAACATCAATTAGTTTATACTACAGGTTTAATAAAACATAATAAGCTGCATTTACTGAAACAGCTTTCCTAGCCTCTCAGCAACAGTCCAAAATATGTATTTCATTTTTTATAAACTCTAGATACTTCGAGATAATTCACTAACAATATTAAGTTATTACATAACTTCAACAAATCAAAGAACATATAAAGTATGATTTACAATAGAATTTAGTTTCAAATGCAAATTAATTGCTCTAAGAGCTTGGTGACAGCACCTTGCTCTACTTAAAAAAAAAACAAAACAATCAGAGATACATGGCCAGTCACACCAAAATTATAAAAGCCAGCATCATTCTTTATTTCACAACTTTAACAATAACCACTTACTGAGTGCCTAATTGTTTGTGGGACATTACAATATATGTAACCATCAATGCACACAATGATCCTAATCTCATACATGCCTGAAATTTAAATGTCATGTTTGGCAGGATTGAAACTGTCAGTCATGTCATATTTGGTGGTGGGAAAATGTAAATACCAACTAACATAATATAAATCATACAATGCTGTCTTTGATACAAGAAGTGCAAATAAAATGCATTTTGATGTTGAACACATGTAACTTTACTCTCACCCCCCAAAAAAAAATATTAAAAAATGCAAAATGAGTAGTACTGTTTTATCTTTTTTGGAATTACCATGAAGTCCTAAGGTACTTCTGAGAGATTCTACTTCAAACATTTTCACATCTATTTCTTATGTTTATTTTACTGGGAGCAGCTGAAGTAGAAAACTGCCAAACATAAAACAACAAATCATCACTCCTGCCACTAGACTGTTTACTACACCATAATACAACACATTCAGTAGTAAACAAGCACAATAAATAGATGTTTCCCACAGAGTTAATCATAATCCCATCTCCAAGAACACAATGGGAGAGGATTTATTGGCTTGTTTATAGTATAGTGGTTGCAACAAAAATTCTTGAGAGTAATAAAAGTGCAAGAAAATGTTTATTATATGGCTCTGTACAAAGTCTGGGAGAGTAAAATAATTGATAGGTATCTGGATATTAGCTATCCTTCCAGATTGATCTGAATTTAGCAGTATTGGTGTACAAAATGTGTAAGTGCTTATGAACATGTATAAATAATTACTACTTGTTTATAAGTTCTTGATTTTTATTTATTTTTCTTCAAACATAGAAAAATAGTAATATATATACAAAACAATAATTTCTAGTACTCAAGGTGATATGGAATTGATTTGTACTCGCCTCATACTTACTAAGCCTTGCCATAAGCCTCATTTATTCTCTCAAGTGAAAGACATTAATTTTTGTAATTTCTAAAGATGCATTTTAGAAAACCAAAAAAATTATCAATTTACTATACTGACACACATAAAATCACTGTAATTTATCTAGCTTTCTAACTAAACTGTATGTGGCTTAAAAGATTAATTTCTGTTCAGAGCAACAACTTAGTCAACAGACTTCATTTCTAGTAAAACTATGGCTTTCCCCTTCAAGCCAATTACAAACAACTGTCAGATATATGTAGTTTGGAATACGCTCTTTCTATTGGATATAAACATTCACCTAACTTGGGACCAGCCTTGTAACCATTTTGTGCTTGTTATAGTTTTCATGCTATAACTTTAAAATTAGTAAGCAAATGTTAACAAAATTTCGCAGATTATCAGTAAACATTACAATGCTTTCATATGCAAAATATCTAATTTTTTTAAATCTTAAGGTTTGTAAAGCAATGTTTCTTTCATGCCTTTTTCTTTTTTTCATATCTTGCCTAGCTATCATGCAAAGTAATTTTCACTTGAAAATTTAAAATACTTTTATTCATCAGAAAATTTTGAAATTTCACATGTGAAATCTTTATAAAATCTGGATAGTTATCAAACATTTCTTAAGAAAAAATTTTATATTTTATCTGTTATTTTCAGTAATTAATCTCTGTATGGGTTCAATAGATTTGACCGATCTAAATGTTTACATGAAATAGGTTAAATCTCATAACATTATACATTTATGTATATTTATTATTATATTGACCTTTATATTGGCTAGCAATACAGAAGTTACGACGAGGCTCACGTGCACTCATGTTACCGTATCAAATAACATAAAGGTGACCTTTGGTCTGTACAAAGTAACATGTCTTGGCTGTAATAGTAATAATATATATGCACATGTAATGTATTATAACCAAAATGTTACTGTATTTTACAAAATACTGGTTCACTAGAACTAAGCCAAGACAGGTCACTTTGTAAAGGCTGATGAAATCAACCAAACCCATATAGAGGTACAATGATAAAAATAATAGAGAATATAAAGTTTTTCTAAAAAAAAGTTTAATAATTATCTGGAGATTATTAGAAGATTATAAAAATTTTGTATGTTTAACTTGAACAATTTTCTGATGCATAAAAGTATTTTTAATCTTAAAATCATAATTACTTTGCATGTTGGATAGTCAACACTCAAAAAGGAAAAAAAAAGAAAATTGCACGAGCAAATCATTACTTAAAAAATCTTAAAACTTTTTTTTAAAAAATCTAATATTTTGTGTACTAAAGCCTTGTAACATTTACTGGTAATCTGCAAAATTTCATGAAGTTATGCACACTGCATTAAAAGTTATGGTATGAAAACTATAACAAGCACAAAATTGTTACGAGGTCAGTCCCTGGGACTAAACCCATAGATAAGGTTAGTGTAGACAATTATTACTTCAAAGATACTGTTCAAATGTAAAATTATACACCTAGAAAATATAGTTCAAAATAAATATTTCATCTTCTGCAAAATGGTGGTTTAAAAAATATGCTTATCAAAATTTCATTATAAGACAAATTAAGAAAACTGACAAGCAACTGCTGGCTGCAACTGTTAAATTTGTGGTTCATTTTAACATCACTGTTAATTGCCCATTCAATTCTTCATGAGCCAAAGTACATTAGAATCCCTCATCAGTGATAAATTCTTCAAATAAAATTAATATTACTTAAAAATTATGTATCCTAAACATTTCAAGTCCAACTCGACTAATCACAACTAATATATCCAAAAACTGAGTGGTGAAGTCTTATTATGAATTCCTTTTTATCAAACAAAATAAAATGATTCAATAATAGTATTAAAATGTATTAAGTGAAACTCAATGTGGCCATAGATAATACTTGTTATAATACTGTTACAAAACTTATTCCATAAACAAAAATATTCTCATTCAGTGGTTTCAAAATAAAGCTGCTGATATTACAATATTATCAACTTTCAAACTAATTATAATATGCCAAAGCAAATACATCGTTTTTATTTGAGCATGGTTTTTTGTTATTAGATTACTAGACAATGCTAGCAAATTATCCACTACTAATTTATCAGTCTAATGACAACCTACTTACTTGGTTAAGTAAGATGTATAGTTCTTTATTCACAACTCACACCTTAAAATAGTTTAGGAGTTATTGGCGTTGTGTAAACATCTAAGCCACAAAAACTACTTACATTTCACCACTATAAGAGGTCTACTTTATTTATTTACTTCATTGTCCCAGCAGCACTAATGAGCCATGAATTCAGTTAAACTAGTCTGATGTATATATTAGGCCTCCAACTTATCTTTCGTTACCGAAATTCACATTTTGGTGAAAATAAGAGATTAACAAATAAATATACTACTTACTTCTTATCTTCCTTCTTCACTTTCACAGAGATTTCATTGATTTTATCCACAGCCTAAAATTCAAAACAAAAATCCACTTCAGGATTTTGATACATATATGTGCGTGTGTGTAAATATTACATATCAGATAAATGTATAACTAACAATAATGTTTTATTTCCCAATGAGGTTACACATGATGCCTGAAACGTCATTGTCACATTTCCAATGATAATGAAATACTTGTAAACATAACAAATTCTCTAAGAAATATTTTACAAAATATAATAACAATCATCTTGCATTTCATCTAATATGAGGCATTAATCATTTTTGTAACTTTATTTTGTTCATTGGAAAATCAGAGAACCAATTTTCTGTGTTCCTATTTCATATACTAGCAAAAATTATAACATTTTTTCAATGTGCTTTGACTGAAGTTTTGACAATTGATTCCTGCCAAAGTAGCAATTATATCAGCCAAATCTTACTTGACAACCTACAAGTATCAGATAGAGAACATTCTATAACTAAACTTGATGATTAACATAATTTAGTTTTCCACTACTACTACAAAATATCGCTAAAAACATTTTATACTCATGGGTAAAAATATATAAAACTTTTCTATAAAATAGACCAGTCCTCATTTTTATGTTCATATATATGAAATATCACTATATTATACCAATCACTTGTGACAAAAATTACCATGAGTCACAGTTCAGGAGTGTCCCTTACTTTTAAGACTTAAAACTCCCATAGAATTACATCTAATTTTTAAAGCTAGTATCCTTTTAACTCTTTCAACACAAGCTTGGTCCCTGGGACCGCCCTCATAACCATTTTGTGCTTGTTATAGTTTCATGCTATAACTTTTAATATTTTAAGTGTATCTTTACAAAATTTTGTAGACTTATAGTAAACATTAGAAGCTTTTTGCACACAAAGCCATTTACTTACATCTGTCCGTGAAAATATCAATCCTTTTTTTTTAACTAGTCTGAGTGCAAAGTGATTTTCATTTTAAGATTTAAAATACTTTACTTTGTTTCAAAAATCTCGAATTTCATTTGCACAACCTCTGAAACCTCCTAAATACATATATACCATTTTTTCAATAAAACGTTATATTCTACCTGTTATTACATTTATTATTTGATTCTTCAGCCTGTAGACAACCCATTGAAATAGAATGAAAAGAAAAATTGTAAAATCAAATATAATGAGCAGCTGTTTCCTTTTTCTTCATTATTGATCATGAAGTTTCAAAGTTCTTCCCCTGACAGTTTCAACTGCTAAACATATCCCATATATTTTCTGTGTTTACTGTCACCAACAAATTACAAACCCACTGACAAAAAAGCAATAATTCACCACCCATGTTATAAGACTGTTTACGTATAACCCGTAATATGAAACTCTCAAGTGCAAAATGCACACGTGTATTCAGTGAGGTGACATTCCGAGAACACAATATGGGATATAGCAGTTTATAGTTCCTACAACACTTTCAACAGGAATTTCCCAGGGTAATAAAATTGCAATTAGAATGTATAAAAACGTTTATTATATGGTTCAAAGTTGGGCTGATCCAATAAACATTGTAGGTCATGAGCCTGGCTTATCCAATTACATAGCAGATGTTTCAGTACTATGGTCACCCATTTGATGTTTGTGGAATTTCACAGCAAAAGTATATGAAGGTGTTATTTGGGCACACTCTTATAAACGATACTACCCTTTCTCACTTTCACCACACTTGGAAAGTAAATGGGAAAGACACTGACAAACAAAGATTTCGAGTATGTAACAGTGTTACAAAATGTTGAGCTCATGCATCGAACTTGCTAAGCATTGACGTAAGCCTTGTTTATTCTTCTGGGGGGAGAGGGTACAGATACTAATTTTTTAGGATTCAAATATAAATTTTTGAAGACCAAAAAGTTATCAAATTACTGTACAAGTACACTCAAAATCCCCGTAATTTAGTCGGGTCTCTAAATAAACTGTATGTGGGTTAAAAAAATCCCATTCCTGTTCAGAGCAACGACTAAATCATTACACTTCAATGGTTTTGGCAAAATTATTATTTTATCCTTCAAGCTATTTATAAACAACTGTCAAAGTTACGTAGGGGTGAAAATGTTCTTTCTGTTGGTATAAGCAGTAGCTAATTAGTAGTAATTAGAGACAAATCTTTTTTTTTTAGTTTATTAAAAATACTTTAATAAAAAATATGATATTTTGTATGTGAAAGACTGCCAAATTTGTGAAAACTATATTGAAAGTTAGTAGTATCAAATCTATAAAGACTGAACGAGTACAAAGAGGTCACATGGTTGGTCAAATTGACCGAGCCCATATCGAGAGTTTAACAAATTATTTTTGTTAAAAGTAATGTCAGTTGTAGCCTAGAAATTCAATATTCAACTATTAAAGAAAAATAATGCAAAAATTGTTAGTCTGCCTTTTTAGTTTATTCCAACTCTAAAATCAAAACTTGTAATTCAACACTTCAATGTTCATACTTACAGAAATATAAAATGAGATAAGCATTTGTTAACTAATAAAGTAATAATGTGGAAAATTTACTTAAACAATTACCATAATTTTCTAACCTTCTTTTTCTCTAATACTCATGTCATGTACTAATTTAGTATATTAAATAAGAATCTCCCAATGACAACTTACTAATTGAACTGCTTTTCTGTAGCTTTTTATGATAACTTGTGGGTGTACACCTTCTTCAATGTATGATTTACACTGCTTCAAAAATTCTGCAGCTAATAAAACTACAGTTGTTGTCCCGTCTCCAACCTAAGAAGGAAAAAATACTGGTTTTATAAAGCAGTTTATAATTTGAGCACTTCATGACTAGTTAATATACCATACCAAACAAAGTTCTCATAGAAAATTAAATTATGACAGTATTTATATACATTCAATATTGAGTATTTTTTAATAATTCTATAAACAAGATGAAAACTTCAAGTTCTACCATCAAGCAATGGTATAACTAATCATACCATAACAATAGAACTGGGCAATGAAACAACTTACCTATGAGCAGCAATTACATCAATTAGAATCACAAAAATAATCAACTATTCAAAAGTAATCTTTCCAATTATTCCAACAAACCAATAATAAAAATATTTTTCAGTATTATTCATGATTAACCACTTCCGTGATTTGCCCAAGATAACTTCCTTCCATGTTTCAAAAAATAGTTGTCCGAGGTAATTTGAGCAAGCCATTTCTAATCATATTTTTAATTATTTGCTCAAGTTTATTCATATTTTATCATGTATGACAATCAGTACCCACTAAATGGCATGAAAATGCTGTTTGTGCTGATTTATTAGATCTGTCCTGAATTATGTCATAAAACCATCCCTATTATTTTCTGTGATTTCATTGAAATAATACATATTACATATAAATCCAGATCATAAAAGAACATTTGTTACATTAATATACAAGTATATGCTACCAAAAACAAAAAACTAACATTTTTTTAGATAATTTCCAAAACCAATGTTTATTTAGCTTAATTGTTTATTGTCATGACTCAAAAATTATCAACAAATCAAAATTAGAGTTTCCAATTACCATTATTTTCAATTATTTCAACCATCCAAGCAATCAAAAGATTGTCATTATGTTTGTTTGTTGTTAAGCATATAACTACATTATAGGCAACCTGTACTCTGCTCACCTTAAGTATCGAAACCTCATTCTTGGTATTATAAGTTTTTACTTTTTTTTTTTACTTTAATGATTACTATTATATGCATTTTTTTTTCTTTTGCTTTGATGACATAATAATCAATTAGCAGTTAAATGTTATTGATTAATGAACCTGTTGCTTCATGGGGTGCTTGTGGTATACTTGTCAGTATATATAAAAACACACACACACCAAAAAATATTTATTTAGATTTCACTGTTGTTGTCAAAAGAGATATCAGTATGGGTTGAACTGGAATTCAATAAGTTCATTAAAAAAGTAGCACTTATTTCTGACATAAATAGATAGTAGCAGTAAACTAATGGGATACACCTAGAGACTACTCTAAGTGGAAGAATTTCAGCATGTTCTTTCAAAATATTTGTTTTACAAGGTCCAATTTAAAATGAGAAAAGTTTTGCTACCATATTTCACTACTATTAATATTTAATATTTGACAAAAGTTCCTTTTAAAGAATTTTTGATATAATTGTCTCAAACTTAACTTTGACTGGAAAAATATCTTTGGATATCTAACTACTGCCAGGTAAAACTAAATGTAAAAAAGGTGTCATATAAATAGCCAGTCTATCATATTTTGTAATGCTACTGATAAGATTACCTACTATACACTGCTAAAGTGCATTCAGAAAATTCATGTTCTACAGCATGGAGTTTAGAAAGTACTAATACAATATCTGCAATTCTTACAAATCATGAGTAAATGACAAAAACATTGTCAATAACTTATCTTTAGGAAAAGTATTGAAGTGTTTCCTTGTTTCTTTTCCAAAAGTTAAAATGCACCCATAGTCCTTGTTTCAAGCATAATAATATCTCCAATGACTTTTTCAACTGACATCTATATATTCATCATTTTGTTAATCTGTTTGTTTATGACATTATGTAAGACTAAGTTTATAGTTAATGAATCCTAAATTATGCATGATTCAGAATGATAAAAAATGGGAGAAATATCTAAGCTAACATGAAATATCACGTCTTTCCACAGTAGAGGATTATTACACACATACCTCAGCATCTTGAGACTTTGCAATGTCAACAAGAGTTTTAGCTGCTGGATGAACAATGTCCAGTTCTTTCATAATAGTTGCACCATCATTGGAAATTGTTGCTTTTCCTGTGACAAAAATTCACAAGTCAAAAATCGTAGTAACCACCACATAACAAAATGATGACATAATGTGTTATTTAATACAAACAACTTCTTCTTTTAGTTCAGTATTTGATGTAGACACATTTTGTAAAGGGACACAAAATAAATACGTATTCAGTGTAAAAACAACCAAGAATATCTTTCATAACACTATTAAGTATATTTATAAGTATCCCCCAAAATAAAAACTACCACGATTACTATGGGATGTTATTAATAGAATGTTATTTAGCTGATAATTTGTGCTGTACATAAGAAAAGGAAATTGTTAGTTGACTGAAATTGAGAAGCTAGTTACAACATGGACCTACAGATGATAAATAACAATGAACAAGCTTAAAGTGAAAATGTTTGAATAAAATGAAAGACTGTTTTCTAAATGTTATAAAAGGAAAATATTTTAAAATTTGTGACTTGTTTTATATATGGTTATTACTGTGACTAAAATGAAATGACAAATATTTGTATGTAAGATGTAATGAATTGTGAAAAATTAAAATAAGACAGTTAGGAATTACACAGAAATGTCAGATCATTGTACTTATCTGTATTATTAATTTTTACTTCTACACTTGCTAAATAGATGTAAAACTTTTGCTGAAAAATATCTGACCAGATGTTAAACAAGACACTAATGCTATACACATTTACAAGTATCTTGGGAAAGTACAGTGCCTCAAATGCTACAACACTAAAAATAAGTATACAAATTTTCAGTAATCAAAGGTCACTATAGAAATGATGCACAGAATTTAGCTATAAAACTCTTTTAACTTCTGTTGCCCTTAAACAATAAAAAATAGGAAATATTGTAAGTGTGCAGGAGACAGAAATAACAATTCTAGTTATAAAAAAAAAAAAGATCAACTTATGTTGAGTGAGGACATCATAGCATTGACAAGTAGATTTAATGGACAAATATAGTTTAAAGTTGAATCTCAGTCATTGGAATTGCAACTTTTATAAGAAAAACACTTAAAAACATGATTGCAAAGAAATAATTACTGGTCTAAATAATAAATTGATACTCTTGTAATCTATAGCTTGGATTAGGAATATTTTTTATTATGGAATAATGTGGCAAGTATAATTTTTACCTTAAGGACAAGTGAAGCAGTTTGTGAAATCTTCAGATAAATTTATAAACTAATAAATTTGAGATATTAATAATATTCCTTTCAAACATATTTCTGATGCTTAATAATTTCAGTAAAGATATGTATCCACATATAGTGTTTGTTCTTCATCCTGAAAGGTATTTTATAGAACATTTCTACAGACCTGCTACCAAAATAGTGGCAATTAAGGAGTAGTTACTGACACACATAATGTTAACACCAGGAAAAACACATTTAGCTGAACATACTCACTAACCTTTTCTGGATCAGAGGGGCATCACTCTTATACCATGATATTTTATATTCTCACAGTGGAAATTGAATCAAACTGAGTATAAGCTTAATAAATAGTATCCAGGTGCCATATTGAACTCAAAATTTAGAGAAGCGACTTCTTTCTCCATAAACTTTAATAAAGAGATGTTTACAAGAAGAAGTGAGACAGAGAAATGCCATGATATGATGGTGAGTCACCAATTGTCTCTCTTTCAATTAATAAATTTAAAATAAATGAACATTTTGTTGTGTTATTTCCTTTTGTTACATTTGTAAAACAAAACTTGTGAAATGTATATATTTGAAAGGACTATCATGGCTGTGGACACAAATGTTGTCAAGCTTTTACAGGCAACAGACAGAACAGTACTATTTGCCCCCGGAATCTTGGACATGTCAATCAAATTAACACTTTTTGATGGACCTTGATATTTATCATCATCATTGGTATTTTTTGTCTTAGAACTTGCTCTCAGGAATAGGCCCAGAAATTACAATTTCTAAGACAAATTTGATCTGATGATTAATCTATGGTCCTGTAATTTCTTGGAGATTCTGTTCTGGTAACTGATAAAGTGTGTGTGTGTTCTAAAATGTAAATTTGAAAGCTACAATGAATTCTTTTTAGGACACCTAAAATGAGGCTTACAGAAAAAAAAAGTCTTCAATTTTTGCATGATTGCAAACAAGCCCAAGTATGCAGTAAGAACTACAAATCTTTCTTTTGATGTATATATTTCATTTATTGTCATGTATTATTAAAAGTAACTACAATGTAAAAACTAGAAACTTCTCAACTTAGCCTAACATAAAATAAAAGCTGTTTGAAATATGGCAGTCATGTGGTATTTACTTTAGCTCTATCAGAAACAGCTAAGTGATCTAACTGTGATTCATTTTTTTTTAGTCTAGGATTATAAAGTTCTAATGGGTAGGTACAAGGGAAACAGATGCAAAAAGGCTATATTAAACTATTAACATAAGTAATTTGGAAGATTCTGATCAACACTGCATCTCTATTCATATTATTTCTTATTTTTCATTTCATTTATCAGTGATAATTTCATTACAATTAGCATTACGGTAAGGAAAATAAATACGAAATACAAAAAACTATTAATATTGATTTAGAAGTTTTTAGAGATTATGCAAATAAAATATGACAACTGTAAGATAAAAAGGAGAATTTTTATTGTTAGCATGAAAAACACCTTTCATTCAGAATAAAGGTTTATAAGTTCAGAAAATACTTTACTAAAATACCCAATTCTTTGTGTACAACAGACATGCAATGTTTAATAAAAGCTTGTCAAATCTTGTGAAGATACCTGATGCAAATTCAGTTACCGTATGCTTAGTTTCACAGTTTCAATGTTGGTGAAACTGCAAAATTTCATTCTCATACAGTTAATACTGTTTTCAAACCTCAACTATTTGAAAAAGTTATCCAAAGAAATGTGGGAGTTGTGAAATTTATCATTTGTTTAACTGATATCAAATACCACAAAATAGATCACGTGCACAAACATGTACAGTTGTAACAGTCTACAAAGTTTAGTACTTTTCTATCATGCAATAATAAAAAGTTAAGAAAATACAAAATACGAATAAGAAACTTGAATATTATATAGTAAAAAAATCCTTTCTCTATTGGATATCATACTTGTAGCATACATGTCACACAGTTATTATAACCAGGCTTCCCAAAAAAAGTACAGACTTCATTCAACTAAAATTATCAACATCCAAGATGACTGTTAAAAATTAAATCTATATGATAGTGTAACTTTACATGAAGTTTTTTTCTCTTTCCTGAGACTATACGGTGATGTTTTCACTGTGAAGGTGAAATATTTTACACAGACAACCTTTCCAGTGAAGACTCTGGTATCTGGTTTTGGCTTACATTCATACAATTTAAATTACTTTTTCTATCATATTTTTTCATACTGTGCAATTTCCAAAAGTTGGTTAAGGAAATGTTAAAAAAATACACTATAATAGTTCCCTTGGTCTTACGAATTCAATATCTTCTTCAAATGTTTAATCAGGAAATTCCTAATTTTTTTTATCCAATCAGTTTCAGATATATTGATATTCATTAACATATTTCTTCAGATACCTTTTTTGCTGATTGCAGTAGTCAAAATGTGGTTTCTTCTAAAGTTCATAATTAGATTTCTTTCTCCCTCTTTTCAAGGAGTCACTTTTCCATGAAACCATAAATTACTGCTCACACCATTTTATTTGCTATACATTGACATAAGCTATTGTAATCTGCTCTATTTATTTGTATTTAAAACCTTGCTTGTAGCTACATTGAAAGCTGTGCTTCATACAAGTTAAATCATATGTTGTAACAAAATAAAAGGGGTAGCAAAGAAGGGCTGTACTAATAAACTCACTAATGCGAAGGAAAATCAAATGAGAAAACAAGATATTTTCAAGGTACAAGTTTTTTTTAGAAAATATAAGTTTATGCTACAGAATGGGCAGAAAATTTAAGGTTTACAGGTGAAACTCCTCAGTTGTGCAGAAAGTTAAAGTTTATCTTTCTTCATGAATTACATTAAATAAATGTTATACAATAACAATATCAATCTTAAAATATATCTAATTAACTACTGTTTAAATAAAGTGATGATTAATTTTCCTTAACTATTGATATATTAATGTTCAGTTAACATCATAAAGTTATTCTTTGAAAAATAAACATGTTACCTAATGAGAAAGTAGCGAACATAATATTGTTATTGGTGCAATTTTCACAGCTAAATACTTCACTCAGTATATTTGATATGTCAGAAACCATATGATATATTTTAATCATATTGTAGCAAGAAAATATTAAATTTATGACTAAAGTTTTCATTATGGTGGTATTTTAAAGCCACAAAGTTACTGCTAGTATTACTAACATGATTGTGATAACAATTTGTCACTGAAAATAAAATTTGGTGCAATAATCAGTCTACTTTCGCTCAAATTCTAAGTAACAAACAAATAAAAACAGTGAAAGAATGTGCCAAATTGGACCAGAATTGCCACAAAAACCAGTATATTATCAGAGAAATTATTAGGTTTAATTGTTTGCCTATTCAACATTCCAACTAGCTTGTGGTTCTTGATCTTAAATATTTCAAAAACTCACCATTGTTATCAACTATGAGTTTGTCCATTCCTCGAGGACCAAGTGTTGTCCTCACTGCTTCTGCTACAGCCTGGCATGCATTGATGTTACTGATCAGTTGAGACTTCCCTTGAATATTTTCAGTACCTTCCTTTAGTAATATAATTGGCTGCTGCTAAAACAAATTGTATTACATATAAAAAATGCCAAACTAAGCATTTTTTACATAATTTATAGAACATATTTTTGATATCTACCTAAAAACAACTGTGACTTCGAAATATTCTTCGCAGTATAATGAGATAGCAATTCTCTCCTAATTTGTACTGTTTACAAAGTAGACATCAGGTCTTGTCTGTAAATGTTACAAATGTCTAACCAATCCTCCATAAATGTGCGTGTTTTATAGCAAAGTCACAATGGGCTATTTGTTGTACCTACTGAAGAGTCGAACTCCTGATTTTAGCGTTGTAAATTCTTAAGATTTACCGCTGATGGTGTGCAACTTCAACTGTACTGAAAATACTAGATTGTATAAAATTAGAAAGCTTTCTTAATGTTTCATCATATTTCATGTATAGTGTTAAATATTAAGAATTGTTTGGAACAATTAGTTGTACCTTAAGTCACAATTCATATAAATATAGCACAGTGTTCCTAGACTTTTTTGTCAAACGGGGCTGTGGCTTTCTGATAGTTGAGGAAATTTTGTATATATAAAATTGCAAACATGCTGAAACATATTTATGTTTCATTACTTCTAATTATAATTTTCTTTTCAAATAATGGGTGGTTGTATTAAACACTTATCAAATAATTCACAGTACTTACACTTACACCCAAAATTTATGCAAACTCAAAAATAACCATTTATAATGTTATTTGTATTCATAATGCAAGCTTGTGAAATGTCTCACATCTGTTCTGCCTTGTGGACAATGCTCTGCATCATCATCACTTACAGGTAGCTTTTGAGGCTTTTCCCACAATAACAGGCTTTCAGGTTCAAATTGTACATTATCCAGAGACTATACACTGTTCATTGGTGTATCTTTTCTCTTTAAAGCTGGTACTTGTAGATCAGCTAAATGTGGCATACAAGCTGCCATGCTATTAGTAGGTCCAGTTACCAAGCCAGCATTCTCAATAACACCATTATAAATGCTTTATATCACTTCTTTTGTCATTTGATTTAAATTCAAACCCAAGTTTAGAAAGCAACACTCTTTGCTTCTTTCTTCAGTATGTTCCTTACATAACGTTTGCTGTTATAAGAAAATTTTTTCAACATGCACTACACATGCTGCAAAATATATGCTTAAGCTAGAAATTGAAACATCTTTGTATACTTAGAAGAATCAATTATGCATTTTATTTTAAAATAAAGGCTTAACAAATTAATTTTTCTTCTTTATGCTATTGGGAATAAGGTTGAGATTCAGACCCAAATTAGAACTGTAAAAACCTTTGGGTAAGTCGAAATAAAACTTCTGTAACTAAACTAAAGGCTTAAAAACATTTGAGTATTTAAATTTTAATAATATAACCCTAATTTGAGCCATAATAGAAGTAAGACTAAGAGGCCTACATTATTCTCAAGTCAGGCTGTCTGAAGCCTTCAAATTCAATATTGGGTGACTTGTTGAAACTTAACAAAGATACATGCCCAAAACTTGAAAAATTAAACTTTTGAGGTAAGAACTTGTAATTAAACCTTTGTAACTTTTTTAACAGAATTTCTGAATTACTAGTTCGAGGCCAGCATGTACTTTAATACAATAATACCATATTGAGTAGGCCTATTTTCTGTTCCCTTTATTTACTGTGCAACACAACAGTAAATAACCAGTCATTCATTAATGTATGGTCTCACTGTACCTTACGTGTATTACTGTAAAGTGTAAGTCTAAAATCTGTAACAGATATTATACTCTTTCCAGAAATTACAGAATTCTCGGTGGTGAACAAGCCGATTATAATCATTCAGAGTATTTAATACTAGTAAAAACTGATATCAGTTGTGAGATAGCGACGTTTTGTTTGACATGTAGAGTATTATTAATTCTCTAACCAACGAAAAAAGTGAAAACCTATCATCTGGTCACCTGTTTCCAAATTGCATGTTTTCGTTGTTAATTACTGATGTTCAAAGAAATTAAGATATAAAACTTGAATGTAAATATTCAAACGCACGAATTTTAGCACAACAAACGTATTCATATTTAGCTGTAACTTAACAAATAAATTAACCTTTCTGTTTTTCACCAGCATAAAGCTGTAGGGCGGCGGTTTACGCAGTTTTCTCGAATGTTCCACGCTAAGTCGGTATTACAATGCAATTGAAAGCAGAACCATATCTTCACTGCATAACATAATATGACAACTTACTTAAGTAATCATATCTTTATAAATAAAGAAACAAGGGCCGACATAATAATATTTGTACAAAATGATGCAAAGCGATATTATAAATACTCACCATTTCTCTGCCTGCTTTGTCCTAACTCTCAAATACACGAATCTAATGTAATGGAATGCGCTCGCGTTAGAACTACTTTCGCGCCCCCTTTAGCGAAAATAAAATTATTTTAGTTAAAATGATTGCAATAATGTTAGGTACTAAGTTGTGAAAAGGACGTTTAACGAAAACACGCGTGTTTCTCTATATTAAGACTTACAGCCGAATTAAATTTTATATCCTTACTTCTAAAGTAAAGCAAATGCGTCTCCATAATGTAAGCTATAAATATTTTTGTGTAATGTTTATTTAACTTTTATGTTTTGTAATTATTAAGCGTCTGAAGTCCTCAATCATCTTATATGTTCTAAATAATACTAGATCTAGCACCCGCTCATTAACAGTTTTTTTGTTGTTGTTTTTCTTACCTTTACAAAAGTAATACCATTCCGCTCTCAATCTACGCTAACAAATTAATTGTGATTTTTATATCGCACTCACAGCTCAAAGTGCTGAGAATATTTTATTGTATCTCATTAATTCAAACCCAGTTCGCCAGTTGCAAAGTTCTGTGCTCTACAAATTCGAACCGTAATCAGCGGAATTACGTGGTTAATAGTTTTATATTTTATGAGTGTATTAGTGCGAAGGTAATGTTTCATACTGTTGAATAGATTTCGTGGTAAGGTTATTTTCCTATATGTTAAATAGGTTCAATGAACTAACCGCATGTTAGAAAATGTGTAAATGCATTATATGCGGATGTTTTCGACTGGTATATTTGTAAGTTAAGTAGAACAAGTAGAACTCAAGCTTAATATTATTTCTCTTGATATACTAGCTCCGAAAAAAAATGTCGAACAT